CAAATTGTTCTCACATTTCATTATCCTGACATTGAGTGTTGGCCTCCCTCTTCCATCTTCTAGTACCTTGTGATTACATTGGGCTTGTCTGGATAATCCAGGATCATCCCCCTGTCTTAAGGTCGGTTGATCAGCATGTAACATAGTTCCAGGAATCAAATGTTGACATTTTTGGAGAGCCTATTATTCTGTCTACCATAATATCAATGACTTTTCTTTAGGATCCTGCTTATTCTACCATGTCTCCATGCACCCAGACAATAGTTGTTGAACTGCTACTGTGTTCCATGTGCTATGATTGGTTCTGGGAAGTAAGATACACACATTGCATAGACTGGTAGGAGGCAAGAATGAACCATGCAATGCATTCTGATCAACACTGCAATGTAGGAGTGTAGAAGGGACTGTGGGGTATAGAGAACAGCATCAAATCCAGACAGGAAACAGAGATGATAACAGACCTGAGCCATATGGTGCTGGGACTATGGATGGGGATCTATGCAGAGGAAACAGCATTTTCAAAGAGCTGGAGCTTGGTGTGCCCTGAGAATGAAGATAGTCCAGATTACTGGAGCATAATATGCCTCTCCCCCAGCTTCTGTGCCATTCTTAAAGAAAAGAGTTGAAACTGCATAGGTAACAGTGGGGATTATGGAGGAGCTTGAGTGCAAGTTAAGGAGTTTTTAATTGTTGTTTTTAAATGCTACAGCAATTGGGAAACAATTGAAAATTTTCAAATAGAAAAGTGGGTCACCATGGGTTGGTATGTTGCCTGTGCATAATGATTTCCCAAGTGCTGTAGTTTGTATCTTACATGACCCCTAAAGGATCATGTGTGAATGGCTTGCTCCCCTGGGTGAAGGTATTGGAAATGATGGAACATTTAAGGGATAGGGACTTGTAGGAGTTCTTTAGGCCATTGGAGTTGTGCCCTTGAAGGGGATAGTGTGACCCCAGCTCCTCTTCTCTTTTGTTTCCAGGCTCCTACTTAGTTGTGCAGTTCTGCTTTGCCATGAGGTCCCACCATGGTGCTGTCTCACCACAGGCCCAAAGCAACAGGACCAAGTGATTATGGACTACCACTTCTAAAACTGTGAGCCAAAGTATACTTTTCTCTTTATACGCTGACTGTCTAGAGTTATTTGTTATAGTGAGGAAAGCTGACACAATATGGGTTCTTCCTTACGTTTTCACAGTTGCCTTTCTTCCAGGGGTCACATTTGATCGACATTTTTCTAATGAGTAGTGTAGCCATTTTCTACCCCTGTTGCCAACCTCTGTGGGCTTTCAGTCTTAGCTAAGGCTGCTCAAAGGTGACTTTGTAGCATCTCGTCTCATATGATGTCCAGGATCTGGCCCTGATTACCTCCCTGCATTAGGTTTCTTTTCCCCAGAGCCATCTTATTAAGGTCCTAATTAGGACAGCATCAATGAACTGTAAATGCACTCATATAAAATGATTGCTTGTTTCAGCAGATTTTTTGCTCCCTTGAAAGCAACAGAAGCAATTATGAAGCAGCTGTGGTATGATGGCAAAAGTAGTGGTTTCAGTCAGAAGATCTGGCTATGAATTCCAGCTCTGCCATTTAATAGCCAGCCAACCTAGGGAGAATCACATAGCTTCTTGGAGTCTCAATTTTATAGAGTAGTGGTTGTAGAAGTTAGGTAGACTGACTGCTGTAACCCAAAATTTAGTAGTATAATTCAATAAAATCTTATGTCTTGTTCACACAACAGTCTAATCTGGGTGTTCCTGGCCTGGTGGTACTTAAGCATAGCCCTCATCTATCTGTGATTTGGGGACTCAGGATCTCTCACTCTCTCTCGTGGCTCTCAGTCCCTTCCCATCATGTAGTCCCCAGAATCCTTCCTTTTAAGCCAATAGGAGAAAGGATATTAAGGTTTGTGTAGTTTAAGGGTCAAGCTACAAGGTAACCCATAATACTTTGGGAAGAACTTCAGGCGCATGACCACACCCAATTAGGTGCAAGGGAAGCTGGGAAATGTAGTCCAACCATGTGTCCTGGGGGAAAAGGCAAAATGTTTTACAGAACAACTGGCCTGTCTACCAACTGTCTAGCTATACAGATAAAATTATTTCTAGAATTAAACTATGTAAGTAATTACTAGTGCTTAGAGATGGGTCTAGTCTGTGGTAAGTGTTTAGTGCAAGTGTGTGTGTGTTTGTGTGTGTGTGTTGCAAAGAGTGTCTCAGAGATCAACAAATGATGCAGAAAGGAAATGTAAATTGTGAGTTGTGAGAGCCGTTCTCCTTAATGTTTTCTTCTCATTGAGGATTACAATGGGAGCTGAATCAGCAATGATTAAGGGGGATGGATTAGATCAGACAAGATAATTTAGAGGAATAAATAGGGCCACATAGATCATAAGGAGAATTAAATGGAATCTGACCTAAGAGTAAGGTCCAGATTAATTTGAACGCTTGTGCAAGTTAGTATGCAAATGGAGTGAACACAGAGTACAGGTTACACTAATACCAATGTTTTATAATCAAGTAATGGTTTGCCTATCCCCAGCATTAAGGCCCTTATGCTTCTAATCTACTTCAAGTTCCTGTCCCCTCCAACCCCCAATATAATGCGATCAAAATCAGGAACGAACACCCCCACCTCTTTTCCTGTACATTACAGGGACGATGATTTTATTTGAACAAGTATTTATTTTAGGACATAATAAGGAGAGTATTTCTTCTTCCTTTCACCAGTTCAATCCCTACCTTGGAAAAAACAGCCGGAAGAAACTATTAACTGTGTGCTGCTTTTAGAGCCATCCTGGGGGAAAGATACATCTCCATTAAATGTCCAGTTGCTGAGAGCTGCTATAGGCTTAGTAGTGAAGCCTGTGATCAGAACACAGGGGGCTCTAATGGTGGCCCAGGAAGCAAGTCCTCCTCTGAAGGTGTCCAAGAATGGGTCATTAGAAGATAGCCACTGCCATGAGTGAGGGCCAGGGAGCAGGCTGCAGAGAGCGAAGAGGGGTCATTTAAAAGAAGGGACATGACAAGCTAAAGTGAAATAATGACTGCGGCTCTGGACAGAGCTTTTACAGAGCCACGAGCTATTCCTGTTCTTGGAGGAGGGAGGGCTGCAGGTTTCCTCTGGCTCAGAGTGAAAGCATGAAAATGGTCTAGAGTGGGGTAGGAGGGAAAAAAGGAGGCTGGGGCTTGGCTCAGGAGCTAGGAGAGCTGGAGGAGGAAGAGGGTGACCAGAACGCCAGGCAGGCCAGGGCGGGAAGCACAAGACTCAGGATTCCAGGGAGAGAGGGGCTCAGGGTCCTTGTTTCAGAAAGGAGAGGGGTAAGGACCGATGCATAGCCTTCTTCCCCACTAGAGTGAGGGAGAACTCTATGGATGGTCTTTCCATGGACGAGGTTTGTTTCTCCTTGTGGAGAAAGGAACTTATAATGGGGGTTTTCTCATAGGAAAGAGTGGTTGTTAAAAACTGGGGTTTGAGTCCCAACTCCATTCTTTACTAGCTGGGTAGCCTTGGGGATGTCCATTAACTTCTCTGAGCCTCAGAAATCACTAAAGAGTAGAATAATAATGTATGTAAAACCATGCAGAGTCTGACATAGCAATAACTTATCCAAAATTAGCAGATATAAAAAAATGTATAGTTTGACAGCAGAGGACTGGAAATTTGGGGAGGCATGCAGAGAATATAATACAATTTTCCTTTTGCAAAGAAAAATATGAAGAACTTTGCTCATGAGAATTGTTCCTGTTTGGAGACAGAAGATCTGGGTCCTGGTTATAGTGTTATCTTTAACAAGTTATCATTAACCTGTAGGCGGCTTGAGTACATCTTTTAGGTTTCAGGTCCACATTTTAAAAATAATGATAATACCAAGAGCGAACAACCTCATGGGGATTTAATGGGAATCTCTAAGGCACCTGGTAAAAAGTCAGAATCTAAGTGAACCTCAGGGGTCATCAAGATGGTGGGCCCAGGTGATCCCTGGAGGGCAGAGTGGCTCAGGGAGTGGGAAGATCCAGAAAAAGAAGGGAACTGGGGAGGGACAGAGAGAGGGAGGACAAGTACTTGGAAGCCTGCAGACAGTAGGTGATGGGCTGAAATGACCCAAAGGTCCTTTGCAGGACCAGGGTTATAACCAGGAAGGACCAAATCTGGGAAGAAGAGTCAAGGTGAGAGATTGTTTAGTCTTTGGAATGTTAAACTGCTGGAGTTGAAGGCCACAGGGGTTGAAAGGGTAAAATAATGATAATAAATAGCATTTGTTGTTAATTACCATTTATTTACTCAACAAATATTGAAGGCCTACTATGTGTCAGGTAGTTTTACATGCTGGGGATAGTTACAACATTGAGTAAAACTGAAAAAAAAAATCCTCTCTTTATGGAGCTTTAAAATAGAGAAGTTTTTTTAAAAAAATAAATGTTTAGGTTGGGATGACATTTGGCTCTGTACCTCAAACCATGTACAAAATTTAACTCAAAATGGATCAGAACCTTAAGTGCAAGAGCAACTATCACACTCTTAGAAGAAAACATAGGTAAAATCTTTGGAACCTTAGACTTGGCATTGGATTCTTAGCTATGACATTACAGGCATGTGCACACACGCGCACACACACACACACACACACACACATAAATATAAATTTTAGTTCATAGGGTTAAAAGCATTTTTGTTTCAAATATGCTATCTAGAAAGTAAAGACGCAATTCATAATATTTCTGTAAACCTAAAACTGCTATTAAAATAGTATATTAACCTTAAAAAGACAATATGCAAAAGAAAACACTGATAATTATATATCTAATTAGGCTGTCCTTGTATCTAGAATATATAAATAGCTCTTTAAAATGGGCAAAAGGTCTGAATAATCATTCTTCAAAAGGAGATCCACAAATGGTTAATAAGTATATATGCCCAATATTATTAACCACTAGGGAAATACAAATTGAACTGCAAAAGAGATTCTACTTCATACTCACTAGCAATGGTGATAATTTTAAAAATGGAAAATAACAATTGTTGATGAGGATATACAGACTGGAATCTTCATACATCGATGGTGGGAATGTAAAATGGCATAGACACTCTGGCAAACAGTCTGGAAAATTCCTCAAGTGTTAAGTACACAGGGCTACCATACAACCCAGCAATTCTACTCCTCGGCATATACTCAAGAGACATGGGACATGTCCACACAAAAATGCTGTGTATGAATGCTCCATGTACTAATGCTAGCACCGTTATTCATAATGACTAAAAGGTGTAAATAACCCAATATTTCCTCAATAGATGAATGGATAGATAAAATGTGATATATTTTGTGCTGAAATGTTATTTGGCCATAAGAAGAAATGAAGTATTGATGTAATGCAGATGCATCTCGAAAATTTGTAAAGGGAAAGAAGTTAGTCCCAAGAGACTACAGACTGTGTGATTCCATTTATATGAACTATCCAGAATGGGCAAATGTATAGAGACAAAATTAGAAGTTATTTAGGGCTGGTCAAAATGGGGGTGCTATGAGGGACTTCAGGAGTGATAGCTAACGGTAGTTTTATGGCTTTTGGAGGTAATGAAAATGTTCTGAAGCTGAGTGTGGGGATGGTTGCACAACTCTGTACATATACTATAAACCATTGAATTGCACACTTCAAACAGGAGAATTGTATGGTATGTTAATAATAACTCAATAAAACTGTTTAAATATAGATGCATTATGTTAGGTAGTGATAAGTGCTATGAAGAACAAGGGATGGGCAAAGCACAGGTGGTGACAAGAAAGAAGGGAGCAATGCCGATGACATCATGTACTATATAATGACATTTCAGTCAATGACAAGCCGCATACATGACAGTGGTCCTGTAAGATTATAATGGATCTGAAAAATTCCCATCTCCTAGCAACATTGTGGCTGTTGTGATGTTGTAGCGCAATACACCGTCCATGTGCTTGTAGGGGTGCTGGTGTGAGTAAAGCCATTGTGCTGCCAATCACATGAGAGTAGCATGTCCAATTCTGTGTGGTACATAATCCTCAATGCTAATACATGACTGTTACTGGTTACTGGTTTATGTATGTACTATCCTATGCCTTTTACCTTCAGGTTAGAGCATACTGCTTCCACTTACAGAAAAATAGTTTACTTTAAAATGATGTGCTGTGTCATTCTGGCAGCAGCCTCAACATGGGTATGACATCTCTCTTTCTCACTTATTTATTTATTTATTGGATTGAACCCAGGAGCACTTAACCACTGGGCCACATCCCCATCCCTTTTAATTTTTTTTATTTTGAGACAGGATCTTGGTAACTTGCTTAGGGTCTTGCTAAGTTGATGAGGCTGGCCTTAAACTTGTGCTCCTCCTGCCTCAGCCTCCTAAGTTGTTGGAATTACAAGTATGCACCACCATGCACCACTAAAATTTTTGTTTTAATTTTAACACAGAAAATATCAACAGATAAAAACCTACTTCATCAAAAGGCTTTTTTGTTCCTCGGTAAGTTTTAGGTATAAAGAGGTCTGGATACCAAAAAGTCTGAAGAAAAGTTCTACTCTTTTTTTTTGAAAAATAAAAGCATATTTATAACTGTTTTTCTCTGTCATCCATTTATTTTTTTGGTACTGGGTATTGAACCCTGGGGTGCTTTACCACTGAGCTACAGCTGCAGTCCCTGTTCTAATGCCCTTTTTTGTATTTTTTTATTCTGAGACAGTGGCTCACTAAATTGCTGAGGCTGGCTTTGAACTCTGATGCTCCTGGGACAGCTGCTGGGATGACAGGCGTGTGCTACAGCAGCCCGCAACGTGTGTATGGCATCTCTTGATCGCGTCATTTCTCTTGCTTGATTCAGCCTCTTAATTATTTTGTTCATCACGGCCCTAGGATCAATAACACACATGCGTGCTCAGTGTAGTCTAGGTGAACCGTAGGCTATGCATCTGTGCTTGTGTGGATATACTCTACAATGTTCACACAATGACGCACTTCTCATAACATGTCCCCCTAATTAAGCGACATGAGGGTAGCCTGGGGAAGGACCTGCTTGGCTGAAGAAACCAGCGTGAAGCTCCTGAGGCTGCAGAGAGCTTCAGGGGGCAGGAAGCGGGGAGGCCAGTGTGGCTGAAGTTGCCGGAGGGAGGGAGGGAGGGGGTTTAGCAAGCTGGGGCTCAGGGCTAGGCATCAGAGTGGACAGGCCATGGTTGGGAGTTTGGATTCTGTACTTCACGGGGCGGGAAGCTATAGGAGTCTGTGAAGTAGACAAATGACACATGTAGGTTTATGGTTTTAAAACATTGCTCTGGCTGTGGGTGGAGAATAGTCTGAGGGAAGGTTGGCGTGAGTGGTGTGCTGTTTTTACAGCTCTCTGGAGGGATAAAGGCCTTGGTTTGTAATGTTTGCTAATTTCTGGGATGTAAATGCTCCCTCTGTCACCAATTTTGAACTACCAACAGTTTGACAACTGGGTCTCACAACTCCTGGAAATTGGAGTAGTCAGCTCTTGGGAGCCATTGTGAGTCAATTTCAGCATACCAACCGCAGGAGACTGAAGGAGAGCTTCTAGAACTGTCCAAAGGAATGAGAAAATAATTAGATTTGGGGTATATTTTAGAAGCTTTTTCCTGTTTTGCACAAGGATATGTAGCGGTGATGTTCTCACTGTATCTCATTTAGTTCTTCCACCAGCCCAGGGCTGCCTTAGCTCATTGAGGTCTTTGTGCAGATGAGAGAAAGGTGCTTTTCCTCTGGGAGTCAACAGCCTCCCACCAGGGAGCACAGACGTCACTCACACTAGCTGCACTGTGCAGGCACAACCTGCCCATTCAAGGCCCATCAGCCCCATGATGGGCAGGAGGTGATTCTGTTCTAATGCCCTTTTTTATAGAGGAGAAATTGAAAGCCATATTAGTTAAGAAACTTGCCTGAACCAGGAGAATGGGATTTAAACCCAAGCTACTTTAAGTCTTGGACAGTTTTCCCTAAAACTTCATAGAGGTTCTCTCTCATTGGAACAGCAAATTCACTCCAGGGTAACTTCACATCCCAAAGTGTATCTGTAAACCTGGGCCGTCAGTTACACCAGACTGCAAAAACAAAATGGTGGATAGAAAGGGAACGGACAGGGAGATGTAGGGTTATACATTTCTGTGGCAAAATTTTATTCCCGGAGTTGTGATAAACTCACAGTAAAGAGAGAGAATTCATACTAATCTTAATAATAAATTATGGATAATTCACAACTTTTTTAATATTTATTTTTTAGGTGTAGATGGACACAACACAATGCCTCTATTTTTATGTGGTGCTGAGGATCGAACCTGGGTCCCACCCATGCTAGGGGAGTGCTCTACCGCTGAGCCATAATCCCAGCCCATAATTCACAACTTTAAAGCATCTACTTCATGTAAAACATTCTAGATATCTTCAGGTTAATTTGAAAAGAAGAAAAACTTTAACTTCATTTTAAAGATGGGAACAATGAGGCTCAGAGAGATTAAAACATGCTCAGGATCACACAGCTGGTGAGTGGCATTTGGGGTAATCTCTCAGCAGGTTGAACTCTACCAGTAGGCAACCTCTCCTTTTTGTGTTTTCATTCTTCCCCAGAATATCTTGAGTATGATTTTGAACAGTGAGCAATCAGGCCACTTCTGGGAGAATTTTAGAAACTTGACATCAAACTAGTTCATTCAACAAACACTGAGAGTCTCATTTACCAGGAACACCTTAGGCAGTGGGGCTGTGCTCATGAATAAGACATTGTCTGTTACCTTGAATATGACTCCACACTCAGAATTTTCTATGTTCCCTTTATGATATGGGGGCCAGGTCCCCTTTGCTTAGTCCCAGTCTATCCATGGCTTTAAAGGAATCCAGGATGCTCACTTAGATTGCCAAATTCCTAAGAAGCTGGGGAGTATGAGATCTGGATGTATAAAAGAGGTCAAAAATTGCAGTTTCCCTTTCCTGTGCCCCTGAAGTGGCTTTGCTCCTTTCTCTACCAGTTTCTGAGCTGGCAAAATCAGGCATGCCCACTGCAGAGTCCCTGGATGGCCTTGGGTCTGCCCTCCTTCTTCATTCTTAGCCTCCCTCCTTTTGACAAAGGAGCAGACTGTGCCTTGCGGTGAGGTGGGGCACTTCCCTAGAGCAGGCCACTTCCTGGCTTTGGGTAGGAACAGAGGATTAAGCTGGAAGGTTTCTTTTCTCTTTCATGGAAATGGAATTCAAATTGGAACCTTATGTCTGGTTTCTCTGAGCTGCAGAGCATGGCTAGAGTATGGTCTCCAGCTAGCATTCTGGAGGACTGCTGAGTTAGCTCAGCTGATCCCTTCTCCTTAAATGAGAAGCTGCACTACAACCTTGTCATGGTAAGAATACTCTACTTGGGATGAGACACCGAAATGCAAAGCCCAAGTCTGTGTCTGTGTCTGTGTGTGTGTGCATGTATGTACCTGTGAAAAGGGAAGCTGCAGAGGGTTAGTTCTCCATTCAGGAAAGCACTTGGACAGGTTGCCCACTTAGGCCCTCTGGACTCTAGCATCTTATGCACGACCCAGGAGGCACTCATTACAGTAGCTCAGCTGGGTTTGAATCTATGCTCTATAATCTATCAGCTGAGTGACTTTTTACAAGTTATTGATGGCTCTGAAGGTATCTGCTTAAGAAGGTACCAGCAATGAGGTAGCTTTAAAAACTTCTTGTAATTTAAATATTTCCCAATTCTGTGGTTTGGGAATTCAGATGAGTTGTAGTGGCAATATTCTATACCTGTTCCCTGGTGTCTTAGGCCTCAGCTGGGATGACTTGAATGGAGAACACTGAAACAATTGAGGCTGCTTGGGGATTGTGTATGTGTGTGTAGATGTAATGGCTGTGTGTATACAGGTAGAAATTTGTATGTGTATGTATGTAGTATATGTATATATGTGTGTATAAATCTGCATAGGTGCATGTGTGTGTGTGATTATATACGTAAGTGTACATTTGAATGTATGTATGTGTGCATATGTAGATGTAGGTATATGTATATATACTTGTGTGAATCTATGTATGTTATATGTGTGCTTATATGCACATGTACATGTGTGTGTACATATATCTAGATACACCATCGTTGGAGGTAGTGGCCATGACCATTTTGTTCTCCTTTTCATACCCACTGCTTAACACAATATCGGTTACACAAAAGATCTTCAATAAATGTCTATTGAATAGATGAAAAAATTCTTGTCAAGCATCCAGTATGTACAGGCAAAATACAGGAAGCAGTGATAACAGGACAGAGCTTGGGTAAAGGAGACAGTCTTCTGGAGGTGCCTTCTTTTTCTCTTTAATTTTTTTTTAGTTGTTGATGAATCTTTATTTTATTTATTTATTTTTATGTGGTGTTGAAAATCGAACCTAGTGCCTCACACCTATGAGGTAGGCACTCTACCACTGAACCACAACCCCAGCCCCGGGGCCTTTTTTTTGTTCTCTCCATATGCAAAAATACTGCTCACCCCTTAAATGAGTATAAAATTCTATGTATTTTGCAATTAATAAAGGTCGGGGAGGTCAGGGTTCTCAGATCCTTAATGATACTATGATAATATATAGTTGCATTAATTGACTGGGGCTTTTCTGATTAATAGGTTCTAAGAATAAATGGGAGATACAGAGTACTTTGAGATTTTTAGATCACAAATCAGTTGGAAATGTCCTCTTCTGTAATTTCCACCTCCCCATATTTTGGCTGTTAGTATAAAATTCTTCAGTTTCTACCATCCTTCATCTTCTCCTCAGAAATGGCACTTCCCAATATAGAACAGCGCAGGAATACTTCAGAGGGGAACATGGGGAAATGGCACTGGGTGATGAGTGTGTTTGCATTCTCTCTGCCTGTGCTGTAGATAATGCAGCTTCAAGGACGGGTCCCCCTCTGAGCGCCTCTGAGAATCAGGCCCTAGGCTCTGCAGGTGGCCGTGCATAAACCCTAGTCCACACCCACAGAAAGGAACTGGGTGTTGATATCAGGTGTCACCATGAAGGCCAGAAAAGAATTGGAAGGACTCCCCAACAAGGAGTTGCCTCTGCTGTTCTTTGGGAAAATGTTCTGCCAGTCAAGAGGCAGGTGCTAAGACACCCTAGTAAGCAGTTTAAGCCTAGAATTAGGAGCACATTTCCAGACTCTGAGGGTGACAACACTAGCATTTTAAATAATATTGAACTTCAGGTTTCCTGTCCAAGCTCCTGGATGCGTAGAAAAGGAAACTGAGGCCCAGGAAAGTTAGGTGACAGGGGACCCTCAGCAGCTGAGACTGGCTTGGCTTCTGGCTCCAACTGTAATTTACAAAGCTCAGATCGTGAATGTCCTTAAAAATTGTAAAGTATCCTCCAAAGAAGGTCATCATTCATGTAGTGACGTTCGTGTACCCCTTGGTCACTCTGATGGGAAATGGAAAGGAATGGCAGTGAATGTGCGAATCTCACCCTCTTCCCAGAGCTCTTCCTGCACCCTGCACACATGGGTCCCCCGCTTCTCTGGGTTCCCGTCACCTTGCTGTGGCCCCAGATCTAGGTTTGGCTGGAATCAGCATGTGACTGTCAGAGAAGAGCGTGGAGAGGAGAAGGCAGGTCTGTGGAGGGTGCTGGGCAAGGCTTCCACCTGTAGGGAGACGTGGAGAAAGTGTTGGTGCCCCAGAGAAGAGCAACATGGCGCCCATTCACTGTCTGCCTTCCATCTTCCCTGGACCCAACTCTGAATTTCCACAAAGTCGGGGTGTAGGGGGAGCTGAACGCTGGGGGCCTTTCTCTCAATCTGTCCTGGCATCAGTGCCCCTCTGTTGCCGGGAGCCTGGCTGGCCTCTGTAAATTATGTCTGAGAGGAAATGAGATCCAGGCCATTTGCTGGCTTCCTGAACCACTGAGAGCGCTAGGGGAGGAGGGAATGAATAATTGATAAAAGACCATAAAACATAATTCATTCCTTTAAGTGAATTAGAAACTGTAGTTAAAAAAAGAGAGAAGTTACCATCAGTGGACCAGGAGTGTTGCATTATTTAGTCCCAGCTATTTCATTAGATGGGTAATGCAGGAGAACCAGAACATTAAAATCACATCCTTTGCTCCTCAGGAAGGGAAATAGCATCACTGAGGCCCCAGAAGATGCAATTTCAACTCATTGGGCTCAGTTGCCTGGGGCCTGGAGTGTGCTTACAAGAGTGACATAACCCACCTCTGGGTGATGGAAGGAAACAGGCAGTGGCCGTTTACTCCTCCCATCTATCTGCGCCAGAAGGGGAAGTGTAGAGTAAGAGGCTTCTCTTTCTTTTAGGATGCCCTCCAAGCTCCCCTTCATCCCCTCCTGAAACACTCCCTTTTATTCTTTAAGACTGGAAGGGGAATTCAAGTCTAGTCCAGAATAGAAAAAGTAGACATCAGGTATCACTCAAATTTCTGCATCCACATTGAGACTATATCTTATAGGTGATGTCTCTGAGAACTTGGCAATCCCACTCTATTTTGGGGACCTATTCCATTCAACAGAGAGCTTCCCTTTTACAATTTATAGACTTTCCCAAATTCCTTTCCCTAGGGGAAAAAAAAACCCTGAAATTCATTTTATTTTTTTGAAGCAAAGCAATTTAATTTTTGCCTTAGGTTCTCCATCACAAACCATACCCTGGGCTTTCCCATTCTTAATCATACAGCTCTTTGATTCATTTTCAGAACTAAAAGGGCTCTCTACCCCATCTAACAAAATAAACAATAGATGGAAAGTTTGAAATTACAATATCTTTCAGTGCCAAAGGTTCAAGGCCAATCTCTTCGGAATCATGTTCAAAGCACTTGTCCTTCATTCCAGTGGTAGAAGAAGCAGGAAAATATTTCCTCCATCTCACCAGAACATACTTTCACAGTCAGAGCTTTTTGTTCTTCCATTGCTGAACGCGTTTTTTTT